CTCAATGGGTGACATGTCCGGTGAGTATGCTGGCCATGCAAGAACTGGGATGTTTTCAGCTTCCAGGAATTGTATACAGATCCTTGCAACATGGGGCCGTGCATTATCATGCTGCAACATGAGGTGATGGTCGTGGATGAATGGCACAACAATGGGCCTCAGGATCGTGTCACTGTATCTCTGTGCATTCAAAATGCCATCAATAAAATGCACCTGTGTTCGTTGTCCATAACATACGCCTGCCCATACCATAACCCCACCGCCACCATGGGCCACTTGAATCACAACTTTGACATCAGCAAACCGCTCACCCACACGACGCCATACACGCTGTCTGCCATCTGCCCTGTACAGTGAAAACTGGTATTCATCCGTGAAGAGAACACCTCTCCAAAGTGCCAGACGCCATCGAATGTGAGAATTTGCCCACTCAAGTCGGTTACGACGACGAACTGCAGTCAGGTGGAGACCCCGATGAGGTCAATGATGAGCATGCAGATGAGCTTCCCTGAGACCGTTTCTGACAGTTTGTGCAGAAATTGTTTAGTTATGCAAACCGATTGTTGCAGCAGCTGTCCGGGTGGTTGGTCTCAGACGATCTTGGAGGTGAAGATGCTGGATGTGGAGGTCCTGGGCTGGTGTGGTTACACTTGGTCTGCGGTTGTGAGGCCGGTTGGATGTACTGCCAAATTCTCTGAAACGCCTTTGGAGACGGCTTATGGTAGAGAAATGAACATTCAATTCACGGGCAACAGCTCTGGTGGATATTCCTACAGTCAGCATGCCAATTGCACACTCCCTCAAAACGTGCGACATCTGTGGCATTGTGCTGTGTGATAAAACTGCAAATTTTAGAGTGGCCTTTTAATGTGGCCAGCCTAAGGCACACCTGTGCAATAATCATGCTGTCTAATCAGCATCTTGATATGCCACACCTGTGAGGTGGATGGATTATCTCGGCAAAGGAGAAGTGCTCACTAACACAAATTTATACAGATTTGTGAACAATATTTGAGAGAAATAGGCCTTTTGTGTACATAGAAAAAGTCTTAGATCTTTGAGTTCAGCTCATGAAAAATGGGGGCAAAAACAAAAGTGTTGCGTTTATAATTTTACTCAGTATAGATAGAACTGTTATACATAGAAAGTAGACAGTAATGAAAAGTTATTAGCGTATGCCGTGTGGTTGGTGTCCAGTGTTGCTAGCTGAGCAGAAATACATAATCATGTTTCGCTTTGTCCCCTCAAAGTTGTGTTGGATTTTCTCCTCAGCTTAAAGGTTAAGAGTAGCCTGGGAAAACCCAGACAACTTCCGGCAAATTTAGATTTGCTCTGCAAGTTAGTCTGGCAAAGAGCTCATTCAAGCCCATTTCTAATCCGTCGAAATCACGGCACCAATCAGAAACGTTGGGGCGGGCTTTACACGATGACGACAGCACAGCGACGGTGAAGCAGATTTTGTACATTTACAAAAATGGATACCGCTGTGGAACTAGGGGTGTGACGGTTATAGTTGAACACCGTCATTAGAACTCTATAACCGCCAAAACCATGTTATTAAAATATTTTTTTCACAAACATTTTTTATCATAGAGAATGTTTAAATACTAATATCAGCTTACGAGGGAAACGGAGGCGGAGTTAGTGGTGCTTCGGAGGCTGCTACTGCTACAACTACATTCACTTCTAGTTGTCTTGCTGTTAATTTTAAATAAACATAGAGCAAGTAGCTAACCAGTGTCTGGTCGTTTATTCAAACTAAGTTGTTCTATAACAGACGAACGTCGCTCTGCATACGTCATCTCCTTCATCGCTGTGATTGGTTTTAGGTCTATCCAATTGCGCCCAGAGGCATTTGAGCTATGTCCGTTGGTGACGCCCCTTTGGAAATGATTTGTCTATGAAGCTTTGCCAGACCATAACTCAGTTACAACTGAGAATGGTCTGGTTTTAACCAGGCTAGGTTAAGAGGCCAATCTATCACTGTTTTCCATGTTCATAGAGTTCGTTTCTGGAGTAAATATATAGGCTATAATCTGTTTACACAGCCTTTTTAAAAATGATGGTGTTTCGCGTGCGTTCAGCCAATCAGCGTACGCGTACAGCGTACTAACGTCACGGATAGTTCCTATAATGCTGGTTATTAACCCTACTCTGAAGTAGGAGCTAAATTAGTTCCTCCAAAAGGAGTTCCTAGAACTAAAATCGTTCCTAGTTCCTGCGGTGCGAACGTGCCAAAATCGGGGTACTTCCGCCAATAGTTCTAGGAACTATGTAAAGGTTCCTCCGATGCGAAAATCCCTAATGAGAAGTCCTGTCTTTCCTGGGCTTGGTACCAGAGGTCGTCTTCTTGCCTCTAAGAAGTGTCTGTCCTAGCATCTTAATCTGATGGTGTTGGACAGTTTGTTTGTGTGAGTCTACCAAGATCCAATCAAAATGTAACCAACCGTTGTCCACTATTACGGACAGAGAGGGGCCCGGCCATAAACTGGGCCCTGGAATGTGCGGTTCACCACACAGGTGTTAAATGTTTTGATTCAAGCTGGCAAGAAGTCTTTAAAGGGACATTGTGTAGGAATTTCTCCCATCTAGCGGTGAAATTGTATTTTGCATTCAAACGAATTGTGCTCTCCAGCGCCTTGCTTTTTCAAATGCGTGTTGCATCTATGCTAGCTGTTATGTACCAAAAAGCTATGACAGGATGTCTTCTAATAGCACTTCGTCGGGTTTTCCTTCGGGTGAACTGGTTTGTTATTTCAAACAAACTGCAACTTGACACAACGAACAAACGAATGTTACAGTATGAATTACTGACTGTGAAAAACATGAACTATTGTAATTAGTAGTTATGCCTTCTTTATTTGTTATATTTTCTGAAGTATGTGCATCTCTTTTGAAATCTTTCTCCTGCATTAGCTCTTTCCACCTGGAAAAAGCTATCCCGACATTAACTCTTGTTTTTTGTAATCTCCGGTCACGTTTCCTTCTACGTTCTATTTTGGACTTTTTTGGTGACGAGGATTACTTCTCCTGTGGCTCAGCATATGTATGGTCCGCCATTAAAAATAACAGTGCAATGCAGCCTTTTAAACTTGCCGGGGCAGTGACAAGCGCCTCTCACTGCTCTGCTCCTCCGTTTCTGCTGCTTTCAGTTACGTGATGCTGGCTCTGAACGAAAGCGCGTTGGCCTAGTACTTTTTGTCCCTCTCTGCTATTATAGTTTTTCAAGATGGCGGAACTACATGGAACCCTCCGTGGACCTACCCGTCCCATGTATATAAAGCTAATAAATTCTTCGTTTACGAGGATAAGTCAGATAATTGGCAGAGGTATTTGTACACCATTGAGGACATATTTATGAATAAAAATATTGATTTTAGATAATAAAATACCTAAAAAAGTACACATTGTCCCTTTAAATATCACATTGTATAGTCACTTCATAACATTAATGTTGAACCACTGTAATCACATGGACTATTTTAACTATGTCTTTACTACCTTTCTGGGCCTTGAAAGTGGTAACGACGTTGCTGTCTATGTGGGGTCAGAAAGCTCTCTGATTTCATCAAAAAGATTTTAATTTGGTTATTTCCTTTGTTTGCATCTTGTTTTGCAACGTTAGATCTACATTTGAAGTAAAAGCCCAAAACCCGGTATTGATGGTATTACCACTGTGGGACTAATATTTATATTTTTTATTTCTATGTTTTGGGCTTCTTTTTTTTTACATTCCACCCAAAACTATTTATTCTTTTCCATGTTCCCAGCATTTTTCTAGGACCTTTCTCTCTGTGTGTCCATTTAGTGTGCTCCAGTTATGTCATTTTTAAATTTTAACCTCCTAACATCCAGAGGTATTTCTGCCATTTCTACCTGTATTGCTGGAATAGGGGATGTTCTGAATGCCCCACAACTTATTCTTTAAGCTTGCGACTGAATTTTTCTGAATGTGGATGCTGGTATGATTTCTCATTGTGGTGGTGATATTATGATGATAATTCAGTTTCATTCATTAATTTGATCAAAAGAAATTCCATTTTGTAAGATCATTTCATCTAAGTAATTCAAAACTTCGTGAGGCAGACGACGACATTATGTGATCAAATACAATAAACTTAAACACACTCCACAGCGCCACCCAGTGCATTTAATTATAACAGCAAGTTTTAGTGCTTGGGATTTATCTAAACTAAGACTGTAAATGGATATCACTGCATTTACGGCCAGCAGCAATGCAGTAATATAGTATTTTTGTTTTACGATAAATAGGCTATACAGATCGAATATTCGACTATTCGTGTACACCCCTAAGTGGGGACAATATCGACCCTGGCAAAAAGTGGCGGAGACAACATGTCCCAACCGCAAATTACGCCTATGTACAACATAGAATACCAAACTAGCCATGCACCTTTTATTCAGTCCACCTCTGAGAGTTATGGCACGTTGCCCGGTCCAATATGGCGGCGACGTTGACGCAATAGACAGTAAAAGAACGTCGATCCTCCTCCATCCTGTGGAGAATGCGGTGTCACAGACACACCTTCGATCGGGTGAGGACCATGGCGAGGACCTCACGTATCGGGCCCATAGAAACGGTCGCTAATGAGATTAAGTGTTAGAAAAAGATACTTGATTTTTGATGCAAGATGCAACATTTTTTATTTAAGTGTTTTAAGGACTCAAGTGTTATTTATGAATCTGTACTGTATTCCCCTATTGTTGACTAAAAACACATAATAAATAGATAAAGGGCTAGGCACTTATATGATTGTATATAGGCTATATTATTATTATTTATTATTATATTGTACTCTTTCTATGGTTTATTATATTTTTATTTTTGAATTGAATATTTCTAATTGTATGATTATTGTTTGTGGCATTAATAATAATTATAATAATAAAAGAATGTCGCTAAAGAGGCATAATACTTTAACACACCCCTTGACGTAATGATCACGTCAGTACTTCCGGGTTCCTTGGGTGCGTTTTGTTGTCGGGCGAAGCAAGATATACTGTTTTCTTCTTTTTTTATTTAGCTTGTTTGTTTAAAATAGTGTCGAGATGAATCGTATCTTCGGACGAGGGAAACCAAAAGGACCACCACCGAACCTCACGGACTGTATATCAGGTGTATGTGTTTGTTCTGTTTAACTTTTGAGACTAAGAAACAAAAGAACTTTGTCCTGAACGCTGAAATGGCTTCATTTTTGCTTAAATCTTTCTCTGAATTGTATTTCTTCATATTATTAGCCTGTACATTTAAATATGTTATTTGTTTTGAGTGATTGAAATATGTTTTGCTGTGTCATGTTGTAAAACAGACGCTGTCCATAATAGGTAAACATCACATGATCCATTTCTGATGTTGTTTTTATAGTTGTTGACATGGTTGGTGTTTTTGAATACACAACATTTATTCTGAAAGTTGTGTTGGCAAAAGTCTTGTGTTGACGTTGTGTGTGTGAACCAGTCCTGCTGGTTTCTTACCTATCACTGGATGCCATGTTTTTCTATATTTAACATTATGGCTGGTATCTTCTCATTTTCTGAGTTAATTATTTATACATGTATGTTATATACTATATGATGTCTTTCTTTGGCTTGCTAAATTCTAGGTCGACTCGCGAGCAGAGTCCGTTGACAAGAAGATAGCCAGACTTGATGCTGAACTGATGAAATACAAAGATCAGATGAAGAAAATGAGGGATGGCCCATCAAAGGTAAAATTCGACTTAGACTTTAACGTTACCCGAGTGGAATTATAGATTTCTGTATAGATAGAATAAAATTGAGTGAACAATTCCTTTACTGTTTCATTTACTTGCATATAAAAAATCTCCATATAACTTCTATGCTATAGATCAAGTATTTTGAAGCCACGTGATTTTGTTGCTATATATATATATATATATATATATATATATATATATATATATATATATATATATATGCACTTAGTGTGAGGAACTGATGGAAATTTCAGATGTTATTTGCTAAAAATCATTAATTTTTCTATAGCTCAAATTCCATTCATACTTGCACGTATTCAAACCAGGTGTCACAATTTTCTGAGAAACAAGCACCAATGGTGTTTGGCATTGTTTAGACCTGGTGTGATGTTTTTATATGCTAGTTTGGAATATCTGCAAATGTCTGATGACAATTATCTTACTTAAGAAATATTTCTTTACTTAAAAAAAACAACCAAAAATCAACGTTCAGCCATGTGTTGTCAACAAAGCGTCACACACCACTCAGTGTATGAAGATCTGCCCTGACAGTGCACGCAGGACATTGAAAGAAATCATAGTCTATTTTCTCTGCTTCTTTTCTAGAACATGGTGAAACAGAAAGCCATGCGAGTCCTCAAACAGAAGAGAATGTAAGTGCCCTTGTACTCATCCTGTTGTCATCCACTTAAATACTTAATAGGCTATTTGTTTTCAAACATTTCTTTACACTTAAACATTTTTACTTTTTAATCAGGACTAAAACATGCCCTAAATTTTGATTGAAAATATTCTTATTCCTTATTATTGTTAAGTAGCACTTTACAATAAGGTTCCATTTGTTAACCATTAGTTAACATGAAGTAACAATAAAAAATACTTCTAATATTAACTTGAGGTAAAGTTAATTTCAACATTTACTAATACATTAAAACCAAAAGTTATTCAGTTAATGTTGTTTAGGTCTGGACCTGAGCTAAAATTAATTAAGAATGGACAGTTGTATTTTTACGTATTAACTATATGTTCAAAGAATAACAACTATTGTAACAAATGTATTGCTCATTGTTAGTTAATGCATTAACAAATGTTAACTAACAGGACCTCTTTGAAAAGTGTTAAATATTGTTCTTTACAGTTCTTTTGCAATTGAATATGTTTGAAACGTTTGTTTACTTTATACATGTTTTAAAATAAGTTATTTTGGTTATAAGAAAAAAGTTGGGAGGACAACACTTAAGTTTTGTATCTTAATTCAATTCTGTGATAAAAGCTTCAGAAATGATTGTGATATGAAACTAGGTTCTGTTATCATGTGTTAGCACTTACCTAGGTGATGGTCACATGCTTGAGCAACTCAAACAGCAAATTCTAAACTATCAGCCATTTCAACAGAAAAATTAAAGCTGTAATATTAACGTTGTCCACTTGAGGGAGCCACAGGATAAGGAATCTTTTAAAAGGTTAGTTCAACCAAAAGTGAAAATTCTGTCATTAATTGCTTACCCTCATGTCGTTCCAAACTCGTAAGACTTTGTCATCTTCTGAACTCAAATTACCGGTAAGGTCTTTTTTAATGAAATCTGGGAGTTTTCTGTCCCTCCATAGACCACTACGCAACTACCACTTTGTAGTCATAAATTTTTGACTAAATCACTCAATTAATATGGATTAGTTTTACGATCTGTTTGAAGCGTCAAAGTGGTAGTTGCATAGCTGTCATGAAGGGACAGAAAGCTCTCAGATTTCATCAAAAAGTTCCAAAGATAGACGAAAGGCTTACGGGTTTTGGCATGTACTGATGTAAAGGGAAGAAGCTTGAGGTAGCTTAAATACTTAGGAATAATAATAGATTCTCAGCTTTCTTTTAAAAAAACATGTGAAGAAAGTTGTTAACATAGTTTAATTTAATTGAGCTAATTTTAGATTTATTAGAAATAGCTTGACTAAAGAAGAAGCAGTGTTATTTATGAAATCCAAACATGAAAATCTATTCTTAAACCAGTTTAAATTATTAATAAACGAGCTCTTTTAGATAAAAAGCCAAATAGCTCCCATCATTATAGTGTTTTAACTAAGAATTCTCTTTAGAGTTGGGAAACATTTTATTAAATTTGCTGATTTAGTACTTGTTTTCAAGATTTTAAATGGTTTTGCTCTATCAGTTTTTAAGGATTATATATATATATATCAAATAACAGGACTGTACACAAGAGCTGGTATAATAGGTGATTGTAATATACCATTGAGGAAAAAAGTACCTTTGGCTAGTTATTTGTTTTTAGAGGAACACATGATTGGAATAGACTTCCAACAGAACTAAAATAATTAAAACATACAACAGGTCATTGTGAAACTTCATTACAAAAGGGTTGCCGACCCCTGCTCTAGAAAGTTGAAATTGTGGTTACTGTTGAATCAAAGTTGAGCATTTGTAGAGATTCTGTTCTGGTAGTTTTGTATTTGTGTGTTAAATTTAGTTTGTTTGTTTTAAACAAACTAAACCAGATACATCCAGATAAATGTAGGTGTCGTCAGCATAAAGGTGAAAGGACACTCCATACCTGTTTAAAATATATCCCAAAGGAAGCATATAAAGAGAAAATAGTACACGGCCGAGAATTGAGCCCTGGGGAACACCAGAATTCCAGAGGAGAAATGTCCCAGGCGGACCGCATAATCTCCTATTAGTTAAGTATGAGCGAAACCACTGCATCACCCATTTTCGCTTCCCACAAAGAAAACCTAATTGGTCTGTATCATAATTATTTATCCAAAATAGGGATGTGACGGTGAGGAAATTTTCGCATCAGTTAAGGTTCCACCTGGTTCCTACTGGTATCACCTTTGGGGGGACGCTGGAGTTTTTCCCCCTTTTCCACCTCGCTTTAAAGGCTTTGTTCAGACTGCCAGTCCAAATCCGATTTTTGTTCATATCTGATTGAAATACGATCAGATTAAGCAAGTGTGAACGGCAAAAAAATCACATAAAATGGAAATCCGTTTCAATCTGACTGCTATGAATGTTAGTTGTGGTGCATTTGAAACTTAGACACTGAGGGAAATTGTTGTATTTCCAGGTATGAAGGGCAGAGAGATCAGTTGACGCAGCAGTCATTTAACATGGAACAAGCAAACTACACCATCCAGACACTAAAGGACACCAAGACCACTGTAAGAATGCATCCATAAGAATACAAATAAAACATAAAAATTTAACAACTTATTTCCTTTTATGTTTTGCAAGCCTACCTTTTTGTATGTATGCATGATTTTTTTTTTTAAATAGGTGGATGCAATGAAAGTTGGTGCCAAAGAAATGAAAAAAGCATACAAGAATATTAAAATTGATCAGATAGAGGTAAGATTCCTTTTGTCCCTTCACCAAAGTAAAATAGTAATTGTATGTCCTGATTAAAAAATTTAATGCGCATATAAAAAAAGTTTTGCTGTTCATGCTGCAGGATCTCCAAGACCAGATGGAGGACATGATGGAAGATGCTAGTGAAATACAAGAAGCTCTTAGTCGCAGCTACGGGACACCAGACATCGATGAAGATGACCTGGAGGCAGGTTAGTTAAAACAGGCATTGAGGTAGTTTGCTCATTTAGCATTTAAATGTTTGATCTGTAATGATTTTTGGTCTCTTTCTAATAAAAATATATTTACTTTGTTCACTATAAAACATAATAATGTTGGTTTTACATCTGTGAGTATTTGTTTGTACCATAAGAACTGGATGCACTTGGTGACGAACTCCTTATGGACGATGACAATTCCTATCTGGACGAGGCTTCTTCTGCTCCAGCTATACCAGAGGGAGTGCCAGGAGACAGAACCGCTAACCGGGTATACACGCTTAAAGAGCCACAAAACACTAAAACACTTTATATATATATATACTTTATGTTCTGGAATGTCACATTTTTATCATCTGAAAAGTGCTGTGAAATATACTTCCCATTTCAGTAATAAACAAAAGGTACACAATTGATAAATGCACTGGCAAAGATTGTTTCAAGTCTCTTTCATGGATTATAATTTTATTATTAATTGCCAAACAGTGGCAACTTATTACAGAAAATTTGATAAAAAAATACCGCATAATACAATTAAATATGTATTTTGCAAAATATAAAGTTTGTATGAAATGGCAACACATTACATTACAACACATTTATTATTTCAGTAATAAGCAAAATAACAGGTAAATAAAAATCCAGTGTTTAGAATGAAATACTTTTTTTTATTTTTTTTAAGTATAACAGTGGATGTCTCCACAATGAAGAAATTATTTTTAATTGATTTGCGTATTCTGCTGTTTGCACACAGGATGGAGTACTGGTGGACGAGTTTGGCCTACCTCAAATTCCAGCTACATAATGGAACAAAGTTACAAAATTCTAAACCCTCAAATGACTTGGACAAATATCTCGACACATCATCTGGATCTACACAAGATTATAACCTTTTAATGCTCCATAAAGAATCAATCCATGATAGCTTTCACCATTAATCATTGGGGTTATTTTTTTTTTATGTATGTGGTATTTTCTTCTGTGTAGATTCTATTGCTACGATTTATTTTCTAAAGGAGTTGATACTTTGTACGGCAATACACTTTCTTATTCAAAGCAAATATAAAGAAATTATTATATGACAATGTTTGAGGGTTGAATGTGCAGTCTGTTGTTTTGTGCAATTCTGCAATGCCAGTGGTTCAACACTGGTAATGAATCAAAACCATGTCAGTGTGAGAACAGAGAAAATAGAAATGGGAACTGACTCAGGAAAGAATATGCCCGTTTCATTTAGTGAGAAACAATAATACCATAGACAAAATCTTACCGTAGACAAAAATCCTTTTATTATGGGAATTTACATAAATCAAACATTAAGTACACAAAAGTAAACATTTATATACCTAATAAATCTACTGCTTTTCGAAATAGGAATTCAATATGCATTTAGTGATCCAGATGTCACCAGCTGAGTCTGTAGCTGTTAGGAAATATCTTCTTGTGCAGATATTCCACAACCTGCTCTTTATTCTTGAGTTTTTCAAACTCATAGTATGGAACCTAGAGACCATTGAAAAAAAAAAGACCATTGTAGGACATAAAACCAAACTAGTGCAAGTTAAGCCCAATTAAGAATATACGATTAGGGTTTAAAGGTATAGTTAACAAAAATTCATTTTACTCGCCCTCATGGTGTTATAAATTTGTATGACCTCAGAAGGCTCGGATTAAACCACTGGAGTTGAATGGATTGCTTTTACACTACCCTTATTATCCTTGTTCAGAGCTTGAAACTTTTGTATCCCATCGAATGTTAAAAAGCAAGATACATTTTTTAAATACAGGGGTTGGACAATGAAACAAACACTGGTTGTTATAGTGTTGGAGGTTTCACTCATATGCGCGGCCTGGTGGCTGAAAATCACTGATTTTACATTCCATTAGTAAGAGCAGAGTGAGAGGTTTGAATTAGCAGAGCAAAAGCACAGCTGTACATAAAATATTGCCATCCACAACATAATGGACAGAGTTAAAAAGAAGACAAATTGTTGGTGCGCATCTTGCTGGCTCATCTGTGACCTTGGGTCCATTCTTCATACCTTGCTTAATACATCTGAGATGGTTTGACAGATGCCATATCTTCTAATCGTGATAACTGATCTCTGGCTAATTTTGTTCTTCAAACGAATTTGCGGATTTGATGAAAATATCTGGATTAAGTTGTCTGAGATTACATGAGATTGAGATTCTGAGATTCTTGTGGTCATTGGAAAAGGGACGACAGCAAATGTAATGACTTCAAATTAAAAAAGAACATCACACACCTGACAAAAAACTTTCTGGAATTTCTGGAACTTCATAAGTTAACAGCCAAGTGACCGAAACGACATTAAAGTTAAGATAAATGAAATGTGTACTGTTTGTTACATTATTTCACGATTTCTAGTATTTGTACAGGCTTTAACATTTGTATTTCAATGTTCTAATTAGCAAATATTACAATTTTACCTGTGAAGCAGATTTGTTATGTGACTGCATTAAGTAAAGTTTCTTAAGGGTCAAGAACATTTGCCTTAACACCTGGACTGCTGCTGCCCAGAGTGAAGCACGGGGTGGATCAGTGATGGTTTGGGCTTCAATATCATATCATGGCATTCCCCACTGAGCTTGATGAGCTTGACTGTCACTGCTAAGGACTACCAAACCCTTCTGGAGGACCATGTGCACCTAATGGTTCAAACATTGTACCCTGAACCAGGTGCCGTGTATCAGCATGACAATGCTCCAATACACACAGCAAGGGCAATTTTGCAGGAGCGAGTCAGAAAAAGTTTTCCTCCACCAGCATCACATAGTGACCTGTCCACTGTTCTGGAATGGCTCAAAATCCCTCTGGCCATTGTGCAGGACTTGTATCTGTCACTCCCAAGATGAATTGATGCTGTATTGGCCGCAAAAGGAGGTCCTACACCATACTGATAAATTATTTTGGTCTAAAACCAGGTGCTTCTATTTCATTGTCAAACCACAGTACATTTGTAAGTTTACATACACCTTGCACAATCTGAAAAATGTTAATTAACAAAATAAGAGGGATCATTAAAATTGCTTCTTTGAATAAGCAATTTCACACAAGTTTACATATAGTCCAAGAAGAAATAATTGAATTTACACAAAATGATCCTGTTTATGCTTGATTCTTAATACTTTGTTTCCTTACCTGGATGATCCACGATAATGATGTTTTGAGATAGTTGTTCATGAGACCATTTTTTGGTTTCTTCTGCATACTAGAACCCTATTTAACAGTGGCTGTAGTTTCACACTGAGTAAAATTCATACACAGCAATTACAAACAGTGCAATCATTCACTGAAGCTCAAGAAGAGTAAACTGTCCTCATTTTGTCTTCTGGGAAATTGTTCTGGGATTATATGTAGCTTCTGAAGGGCATTGCTAAATGAAAATAAAAAGATCAAATAAATAAAGTAAAAGTTCAAAAAAGTATGCATCAATGATTGTTTGTGCCCTTTTGTAATTGTCCTAAGTATTAAAATGTGGATCTAAAAATCATATAGTCTCTGCTGGAAAGGTTCAAATATGCAGAAGATCCTGGAAAACCAAAGAATGTGCAAGATTATCCAGATAACGAAAATCTGTCTCTAAACATCTGTGAGAAAGCTTATTCAGGGTAGCACTAAAAAGGCAATTTTATGATCCCTTTTATTTTGTTAAAACTACTTATTTGCTGCCTAGTGTGCTTCTGCGTACTTGCAGATTCTGCAAGGTGCATGTAAAGTTATGACCAGAACTGTATCTTGTGTTTTATAGAAGAAAGAATATCATGAGTAAATAGGGTAAATGACCAAAGTTTCATTATGGGATGAACGTTCCTTTAACCCCTTACTAGTCAGCCCCAATTTTGGCAAGTGATGCATTCATGACATACCCAAAATAAAAAGGTTTCTGCTCATAAGTCATTCTGAATGGACACATAACACACATATATTTAGAAAGCCAACCTTTGAGAGTTTCCAGTTCAAGACACAAAATTAAACAGACTGTTATTAATATTGAAATAAGCTCAAACATAAAAACAAAAACAACAAATATTAATAATATATTTATTAAATGTATTAAAATAGTATGTGAATGTAGGATTGCAACTTATAACCACAACTAAAGCGTAGCCACAATTGTGGTCATGCTTCATTTCAAATCTGAGGATGATATCTCTAAAATTATGTGTTCTATAAAGCCTATCATAAAACCATGTCAGTGGAGATTTTGGATAAGTTTTAGAGAAGGCTGATAAGATGCATATCAAATATTTTATTGCCCTGTAAACACCGATTTACAGTCATTGACTAATGTCTGGCGAGGCGAACTGGCCCATTCATGGTCTATTGATGTAAATCGGCGAACATTTCACACCTCTGCCGGTATGAGACTTAATCTTCATCATTCTTTTGTCCTTATTCTTTTGTTTGAATTCAGCCATTATAGCCTTTATTCTGGCATTATGCTTGGCCATCTAACTTACACCTCTGTCATCCCACTATACATGAATAATCCACCTATGATCTTAAAAATCACTACCAACGTGAATATGTGAATTATTTAAAAAATATATATATATATATTATGGAATAAAAAGCTCCTGCTGCTGCAGGTGCATTAGCACAACAAGTAGCATCAAGCTACATGACACAATTTAATTGATTAATATTACACTTTTACTTAAAGCTCACTTTAAAACACAATCGAGTATTTGTATCATATTCCGGTCGCGGTTTAAAATGGTTTCAAGTCAAAAAAAGATTTTGAAATATGTTATATCTAGCATTTTTTTTGAAGCTATGGGCTATCTTACCTAGCAAGCATACTGGAAGCATTCATATGCCTATATAAATACGCCAAAATAACACGAAATCACAAACAAACCATATATATTAAAAACGTGCATTTATTAGTTTCTTGATTAGGGTGAAGAGACGTTATTTTTGCTTTGTTACGACGGAGGTTAGAATGAGGAAGTAAACAAAGGAACTGCGTCATACAGGAGGGCTGGTTTATGATCACGTTGGAACACGTGAGATGATTGACAGCTGTACAGCGAATGAGATCGCGCTGATATCACACACTGACGCAATTCAGGAAAAAGAGACACAGAGCTCGCAGTGTTCGCTGTTTTGAACTCTTCAATCGCATATTTCAGTGAAAAACGGAATAGAAATATTATTCTGCATCGACGAAATATTTTACAAACATCCGATAATTAATCATTATTTCTCCAAATATGCGCACCATTGGACTAAAAGCCCTGGCGGATGCTGTATATTGCATGTATGTGAACACGAATAAACCGGAAAAGACGTGAATGAATGCTTTATGAGTGATGATTTCTATTCAAAATAACGAACGTTACAGATTTATTTATTATTTTGCACTCCTGGCATAAATTAAGAAATTAATGTCACTGCAAACCAGTTTAATCATAAACAGTGGTCAAATATCGAAGCTGGAGTCTTTAATCTTTCTAATGATGCTGAGTTTGACCAGATAAGGCAAGTGTGTGATGTTTAAATGAGTAATAAAGGTAGAACAGCGATAATCTGGGATCACTGGTGATCTTTGACGAGTAAGGGGTTAAAATCAAATCAAAGTTTTCCACTTATGAAGGCAAGCTAACTAACATTTTAGTGAAACAGACAGCCTGTAAATAAAAAGGCAAGAGAAATTATGTTGGTTTTACCTGAACAACTTCATATCCCAGAATCCTCAGATGACGCTGCTTGATGGCTTCCTTGCCTAGTAGTTTCTCTGCATTAGCTGCAAAGCGCTTTGACCCATCAATACAGAGAGCAATTCTGATAATACACAAATTAATGTTGAGCTCAGAATATGCATGTGATCGTACAGACCACTAAACATCAGTGCCTGGGTTTTGCAAAGAGCAGGACATGCATTACCTCTTATGGATTTCTTCTGAATGACAGGCAGGCAGGACATACCCTTCTTCATCTAGTTTTATCTCAATGTCTGCAGATAAATAAACAAGAAAATATTGGCATATACGCAACCACAGAAATGTGTTAGTGTAAGACGTTGACAGCTGTACAATTTTCAGGGTCACACTCGACCAGGTGTATAATCTTTACCTAGCGTATAGCAGTATGGTGTAAGTACTCTGGAAGCAAAGTAAGATCGAGCTCCCAGCAGATCCACTAGGCCAGACTTCACAGCATTGTAGAATTGAGGTTCCACGTGAGTTTCCAAAGACTGTCCAGAAGCCAAAAATGACTTCACACGAAACTTTGGTGAAAGTCGTGGACCCTGGATGTAAGTGTAGGAAATGAGCATGGTTGGTTATGAATTAAATAAGCAACATAAATGGGTGTTTGGTAAATATAAATCATTATATTTCATTATACATTGAGTCATTACACACCTTGACATAAAAAATAATTACTGATTATAATTATGAAGTATTTATAGGTCCAACCACCATTTTTGTTCATGTCCCACAACTGTGGTATCATTGTGATAGAATTAGCTGAATTTATGTGTCAACACTTTGACATTATTTCAACTGAATTTGTTTTATATATATTACTTTAAACCAACTTAAAATTATTTTTTGTTGTTGATTACTGACCATTTATATATACAGTATATATATATATATATATATATATATATATATATATACACACCGGTATATATATATATATATATATATATATATATACACTCACCGGCCACTTTATTAGGTACCCCATGCTAGTAACGGGTTGGACCCCCTTTTGCCTTCAGAACTGCCTCAATTCTTCGTGGCATAGATTCAACAAGGTGCTGGAATCATTCCTCAGGGAGTTTGGTCCATATTGACATGATGGCATCACACAGTTGCCGCAGATTTGTCGGCTGCACATCCATGATGCGAATCTCCCGTTCCACCACATCCCAAAGATGCTCTATTGGGTTGAGATCTGGTGACTGTGGAGGCCATTTTAGTACAGTGAACTCATTGTCATGTTCAAGAAACCAATTTGAAATGATTAGAGCTTTGTGACATGGTGGAAGTAGCCATCAGAGGATGGGTACATGGTGGCCATAAAGGGATGGACATGGTCAGAAACAATGCTCAGGTAGGCCGTGGCATTTAAACGATGCCCAATTGGCACTAAGGGGCCTAAAGTGTGCCAGGAAAACATCCCCCACACCATTACACCACCACCACCAGCCTGCACAGTGGTAACAAGGCATGATGGTTCCATGTTCTCATTCTGTTTACGCCAAATTCTGACTCTAACATCTGAATGTCTCAACAGAAATCGAGACTCATCAGACCAGGCAACATTTTTCCAGTCTTCAACTGTTCAATTTTGGTGAGCTCTTGCAAATTGTAGCCTCTTTTTCCTATTTGTAGTGGAGATGAGTGGTACCCGGTGGAGTCTTCTGCTGTTGTAGCCCATCCGCCTCAAGGTTGTGCGTGTTGTGGCTTCACAAATGCTTTGCTGCATACCTCGGTTGTAACGAGTGGTTATTTCAGTCACTGTTGCCCTTCTATCAGCTCGAACCAGTCTGGCCATTCTCCTCTGACCTCTGGCATCAACAAGGCATTTCCGCCCACAGAACTGCCGCTCACTGGATTTTTTTTCTTTTTCGGACCATTCTCTGTAAACCCTAGAGATGGTTGTGCGTGAACATCCCAGTAGATTAGCAGTTTCTGAAATACTCAGACCAGCCCTTCTGGCACCAACAATCATGCCACGTTCAAAGTCACTCAAATCAACTTTCTTCCCCATACTGATGCTCGGTTTGAACTGCAGGAGATTGTCTTGACCATGTCTACATGCCTAAATACACTGAGTTGCCGCCATGTGATTGGCTGCTTAGAAATTAAGTGTTAACGAGCAGTTGGACAGGTGTACCTAATAAAGTGGCCGGTGAGTGTATATATATATATATATATATATATATATATATATATATATATATATATTTATATGTTTTTTTTTTTTCATCTAAACGGACATGTCCCACATATTTGAGTCCTTACCACAACACTGAAAAAGACTTACAATGATATTTTAATGACATCAAATCTAGTTTCTATGGAAACAGTCAAGTCAAGTCACCTTTATTTATATAGCGCTTTTTACAATACAGATTGTTTCAAAGCAGCTTTACAGTAATAACAGGAAATTAATGCAACAAAGATTGCTTTGGCTGTACAGCAGCTCTAGAAGAAGGTCATTGTCAGCTTTACAGTGATAACCGGAAAATAATGTTGAGCACATAGTTGACAGATTGGGCCACCCACACTAGATCACTCACAAGATCCAGAAAAATAAGATAAAGATCATCTTATTTCTGAAGTATTTATAGCATAGATAGGTAACACTTTAAGGTTCCTTTTGTTAACATTAGTTAACTACATTAGTTAGCATGAATTAACAATAAATAATACTTCTATTAATCTTAGTCAAATGTTAATTTGAACATTTATTAATACATTATTAAAATCAAAAGTTGTATATGTTAATGGTCTGGGCTCTGGGGTTAGATTAAGCCAGTAATAGGCCTTAGTTCAATTTGCATAGCTTTTATTAACGTGCCTTAGAAAAACACATTACTGGTGTGCATCTTGAGACAAAACAATGGCACTGACATATTTTAAGATCTGTCAGTGCAAGTTGTTTTCTGTTAAAACAGCTCAAAAATGCATTTTAGTCTGGTACTTAAGCCTTGTCTGTGAAACTGGGGTAATATTATTTAATAGATCTGAGCTAACATGAACTAACAATGAACAGTTGTGTTTTTATTACCTGATGAGGATTTCTGCAACAGACGCACTTTACTTGTCTCATTCACACAAAAGGATTTAATTCTTCAAAATGAATACAAGCTTTCCATAAAAGGAATATCCCATAAAAGGATATTACTTTCCATACCTTACAACAATATTTAGCTATCAAGGTAATGACATTGAATTGCACAATGTATTGCAACTTTAAAAGTATTTATGCATTTAACATTTTATACATTTTGGCTCTCAACGTCCAGGATGTTGATTTCTTTTTTTTAAAAAGAAGAAGAAGAAAAAAGAAAGCACAGTGAAATGCAAAAACATTCTATGAAAATTTCACCTTAAAATAGCTTGAATGTAACTCTACTCCATTGCTTCATTTATTACTGTATATGAATATGCTAATTAGCCCCGGCCCCACTCACTCACACCAGCTCACAGATTCACTCGGCCAACTTACTGAGGTAAAAGCTGCACAATGGTATGGCTCTTTACAACGTCGGAAACATGATGTGATTAAATATGATTCGGCTTTTGCTTATCAAACAGCTAATAATGTGTTGCTAATGTTACACAAACCATGTTCCCGTTCGCCATCTCAGAGTCACACAGCTGCCTTCTAACAATCATTTAGAAACGCTTTGAACAACTCAGAAGAACGTCAGTGGAGAAAGGCATATAGTTCATCATAACATCGAAAATATACATCATAAACACGCTATATTGCTAAATCTACCTGATTTAAAGCTCGCCGGCATGTTGACGGTTAAAAGGTAGTTTGTGACGTCAGAAACACCAGCGATTTCAAACTGCGTTTTTGAGACTGTCTTTGGTTCACCGCAGTTTTAAAGAGAAAATACTCAGCAATGGTGTTGACTTATGAATTTGTACATGTTTTGTCTTAAAGCATATTAAAAACACCACATAGTCATATAAACAACATTAAAAGCATGATTTTCAACACAGGGTGACTTTAAAGAAAATATTTTGGATCGGCTTACACTGCAAAAAATGCTTTTCTTATGTAGTATTTTAGCAGATTTCACACAAAGCGGCACAGTTTTAACTACTCATAGCTTCGTGACACAAAATAAAGTCGGACTCCCTATGATGCATTACGTACTTGACAGAAACTCTCAGTGACTTTACTGAGAGTCACTCACGTAAGAGGTACATGAGTGAGATTGATTCTTCTTCTACTATAGTGGGTTGCGAACCAACTTCATTGGTGCATACCGCCACCTATGTGTGTGTAAAGAGAATGAATTCAATATTCCTCACGTAATCCATATATCCTATTTTTTTATCCACTAATCCTAATAAATCTCATGATTGCATTAATTTGTTTCCCCGCATTTTGACCATCATTTAGTATATTACTTATTGTGAATTCTTCTTATCCTAAAGATTGCAGTTCTTGATTCTTCCTTTCCCTTTCATTTTGCATTAGCCTACATACCATCAAAACATACTCCACTGTCTCCTCTATTAAACAAATATCACATAAACCAATGTTATATTTCCCTATAATGTGTGGTTTAGGTTTGAATGCCCTGTTCGTAGTTATGTGAACATGACTTACTTCCTTAGGCCTACTTAAGTTGTGAATGATGATACTTTTCTTTATGCTCCTTTTATAATGCTGACCTGTTTGACATGAGTCCCAATATGTCTGCCATTTCATATCCTTTCCACATCATTCTTCTAATATCAAATCAAAATGTATTTATAAAGCAACTTACAAAACACAGTGTACCAAAGTGCGGTACATTTCAAAGGGATAAGATAAAATACAAATAAAAAAAGAGATAAAAAAGAAATAAAAGAAAGATAAATTAAGAAAAGGAGAATAAATTAATAATATAAATGCATCTAAACAAATACGCCTTAAGACAGGCTTTAAACAGGTCTATAGAGGTAGAGGATCTGATAGACATGGGTAAACCATTCCACAACTTTCGGGCAGCAACTGAGAAAGCACAATATTTTAATAAATGTTTTCCTTTTGATCTGCTGAGTGAAATATTTATACTCGGTTCATCCATCTTTAATGATACTTTGGCCATTTTGACAACAACTTCACAATAGTGTATTTCTGAAAAAATGTTTTTAATTAAGATATGTTTAACAGCCTGTGGTGTACAACTCAGAGAGGGCCTCAGAGAAGACCTCATGTCACAGAGTTCACTATGTCTCACTTCAGCAGACACCCAGCACAGCTGTACCAACCACTGTGGAACATCAGAACCAACCACTGTGGAACATCTGAACCAACCACTGTGGAACATCTGAACCAACCACTGTGGAACATATGAACCAACCATTGTGGAACATCTGAACCAACCACAGTGGAACATCTGAACCAACCACTGTGGAACATCAGAACCAACCACTGTGGAACATCAGAACCAACCACTGTGGAACATCAGAACCAACCACTGTGGAACATCTGAACCAACCACAGTGGAACATCTGAACCAACCACAGTGGAACATCTGAACCAACCACTGTGGAACATCAGAACCAACCACTGTGGAACATCAGAACCAACCACTGTGGAACATCAGAACCAACCACGGTGGAACATCTGAACCAACCACAGTGGAACATCTGAACCAACCACAGTGGAACATCAGAACCAACCACTGTGGAACATAAGAACCAACCACTGTGGAACATCAGAACCAACCAACCAACCACTGTGGAACATCTGAACCAACCAACCACTGTGGAATATCTGAACCAACCACTGTGGAACATCAGAACCAACCACTGTGGAACATCAGAACCAACCACTGTGGAACATCTGAACCAACCACTGTGGAACATCTGAACCAACCACAGTGGAACATCTGAACCAACCACAGTGGAACATCTGAACCAACCACTGTGGAACATCAGAACCAACCACTGTGGAACATCAGAACCAACCACGGTGGAACATCTGAACCAACCACAGTGGAACATCTGAACCAACCACAGTGGAACATCAGAACCAACCACTGTGGAACATCAGAACCAACCACTGTGGAACATCAGAACCAACCACTGTGGAACATCAGAACCAACCACTGTGGAACATCAGAACCAACCACGGTGGAACATCTGAACCAACCACGATGGAACATCTGAACCAACCACAGTGGAACATCAGAACCAACCAACCAACCACTGTGGAACATCTGAACCAACCACTGTGGAACATAAGAACCAACCACTGTGGAACATCAGAACCAACCAACCAACCACTGTGGAACATCTGAACCAACCAACCACTGTGGAATATCTGAACCAACCAACCACTGTGGAATATCTGAACCAACCACTGTGGAACATCAGAACCAACCACTGTGGAACATCAGAACCAACCAACCAACCACTGTGGAACATCTGAACCAACCACTGTGGAACATAAGAACCAACCACTGTGGAACATCAGAACCAACCAACCAACCACTGTGGAACATCTGAACCAACCAACCACTGTGGAATATCTGAACCAACCACTGTGGAACATCAGAACCAACCACTGTGGAACATCAGAACCAACCACTGTGGAACATCTGAACCAACCACTGTGGAACATCAGAACCAACCACTGTGGAACATCAGAACCAACCACTGTGGAACATCAGAACCAACCACTGTGGAACATCAGAACCAACCACTGTGGAACATCTGAACCAACCACAGTGGAACATCTGAACCAACCACAGTGGAACATCTGAACCAACCACAGTGGAACATCTGAACCAACCACTGTGGAACATCTGAACCAACCACAGTGGAACATCTGAACCAACCACTGTGGAACATCTGAACCAACCACTGTGGAACATCAGAACCAACCACTGTGGAACATCAGAACCAACCACTGTGGAACATCAGAACCAACCACTGTGGAACATCTGAACCAACCACAGTGGAACATCTGAACCAACCACAGTGGAACATCTGAACCAACCACTGTGGAACATAAGAACCAACCACTGTGGAACATCAGAACCAACCAACCAACCACTGTGGAACATCTGAACCAACCAACCACTGTGGAATATCTGAACCAACCACTGTGGAACATCAGAACCAACCACTGTGGAACATCAGAACCAACCAACCAACCACTGTGGAACATCTGAACCAACCACAGTGGAACATCAGAACCAACCACTGTGGAACATAAGAACCAACCACTGTGGAACATCAGAACCAACCAACCAACCACTGTGGAACATCTGAACCAACCAACCACTGTGGAATATCTGAACCAACCAACCACTGTGGAATATCTGAACCAACCACTGTGGAACATCAGAACCAACCACTGTGGAACATCAGAACCAACCAACCAACCACTGTGGAACATCTGAACCAACCACTGTGGAACATAAGAACCAACCACTGTGGAACATCAGAACCAACCAACCAACCACTGTGGAACATCTGAACCAACCAACCACTGTGGAATATCTGAACCAACCAACCACTGTGGAATATCTGAACCAACCACTGTGGAACATCAGAACCAACCACTGTGGAACATCAGAACCAACCAACCAACCACTGTGGAACATCTGAACCAACCACTGTGGAACATAAGAACCAACCACTGTGGAACATCAGAACCAACCAACCAACCACTGTGGAACATCTGAACCAACCAACCACTGTGGAATATCTGAACCAACCACTGTGGAACATCAGAACCAACCACTGTGGAACATCAGAACCAACCACTGTGGAACATATGAACCAACCATTGTGGAACATCTGAACCAACCACTGTGGAACATCTGAACCAACCACTGTGGAACATCTGAACCAACCACTGTGGAACATCTGAACCAACCACTGTGGAACATCAGAACCAACCACTGTGGAACATCTGAACCAACCACTGTGGAACATCTGAACCAACCACTGTGGAACATCAGAACCAACCACTGTGGAACATCAGAACCAACCACTGTGGAACATCAGAACCAACCACTGTGGAACATCAGAACCAACCACTGTGGAACATCAGAACCAACCAACCACTGTGGAATATCTGAACCAACCACTGTGGAACATCAGGGGAACCACAAAAATGTGTATTGTTTCCAGTCCAAATATCTAAAAATCATGATGAATTTACTTGATGAGTAAAATGCCATAAGATATTATGTCTTGTTTTCTGGGGTAATAAATCAAAATGAAGAGGGTTGTTGCTTAAAACAAGCAAAATTATCTGCCAATGGGGTAAGAAAAATAATAATTCAAACAGAAACAAGAATCATTTTCTTACCCCATTGGCAGATAATTTTTCTTGTTATAAGCAAAAACGGCATTTTACTACTTTAGTAAAGTCTTGATTTAAGAATTTTTAGATATTTGGATTGAAAACAAGACAAAAATACTGAGTGAGAAAAGCATTTTTTGAAGTGCACAGCACAGAGTCGGACATACCGGTACTTCAGCAGAAAGACAGTTACTTCATTTATTGTATCAATCATTTAAAAATCATCATAGTGATCATGGTAACCAGTTATCGTTTGTCTTAAGAATTTAATTTTTCCCCACCCCTAACTAAAAGGTGATTCGATTTGTGCCCTCTATTGTACTGAAATAAAAGTTACATTCTTTTATCCTGTCAGAGATGAATTTCGCTCTTGGTGTGAAAGGACCATTTGTTAGTGATTTGCTCAGCTTTTTTGCATCATGTTTGGTGTGAGATAGAAAAATACAGTTTTACTCACATCATAAAATGGACACTCCAGCTTTACAGTCATGTAGAGTTGAGTCAGCTTTGCAAGAACTATGGGATCCAACCCATTGCCCTCCCCTTAGAAAGTGCAGAGATGGAATATATATTATTCAAAAAAGTAAGCACAGAAGCATGTTAATGATCAAGTGTTAAATCATTTAAATGAATATTCCCGAAAATTGATCCCAAGTACTGTATAGAACATGCTTCTTCAATGCTTCTTACCCTGTAGCTGCTGCATGAAGTAAGGGCTGAAGACTTTTGAGACGAAGTTAAGTGGGTACCTCTGTAGAAGTGTACAGGCATACAGTAGGTCTAGAAGGGCTCTGGGCTGAAATTGTGAAAACCGGGCATGCAAAACAGACTCCACCTTTCCGAACAATCTCCCAGCGTCAGGTGGCAGATATCCCAAATCTCCCAGGGCAGCTATCTGTTGTGACACCTGCCACGTCGAGTACTCCTCTGCGCGATACACAAAACTCTCAGCCACAGTGTTAAAAACTGGTGGAGAAAGAATGCGCCGTCTCTGGAAATACTGCATCACCTTGGTTACGGTTTCTGCATGAGCGGTGAAGGCAACCTTGGGCACATGACGCTCAAGAGCTTCCACAAGAAAGTGGTCGCTGTGTCCATAGTGCATAAGTGCTGACAACACCACAGTCAGTTCTGCATCTGCAAAGTTTTGCACATGATGAACAGCTTGCTTGCAAAGCGCAATTACAAGTGGTAATGCTTGATTCTGTCTCAATGTGACTAAAGCACCTAGAATCTTACTAACTGCCACTGGGTCCATTCGTTGCGCCTGTCGAAGTGCCTGCGCATTCATTTCATTTAGAAGCTCCAGGTAGTGTCCATCTTCACCCAAACTATTTGCTAGCATGCAGTAAACAGCAACTAGCTCTGCCATATTCCATTGAGCTGGTTCTTTATTTTGGAGCTGATTTATAGCCCGTTTTACCATCCAACCGTCAGGCCCTTCCAATGCAAAGAAAGCCCTTGATATCCCACATAGCGCTTCAACACTTAACTGTTCCAAATCCAATCTCTTCTGGCATTCGAACACTAGCCTCTGCACTAGGCGGCTCTGAGGGTCAAGGTAGAGACGTGTACAGCCCAGGAGAGCTCTAACCAACACTTCATCCTCTAATCCGGCTGAATCATGTTCCAGTCTTTGACAAAGTTTATTAAGGGCCAAATCTGATAGCAGTATCTCTGGTTTCCGAAGACCACATGTGGCATCCTGCTCCAAGTCAGCCAGTCTGTGAAGTATAGATGCTGCTGCTGCAGCTGAGAGGACAGGGTAAGATTGCAAAAGAAGTAGAACTTGCTGAGATGAAGCACAGGAGGAGAGTCGTTTCATAAAGGTGTGGTCCTCATCAGAAGTAAGGTGGTGCAACAATGACAGACCACTTCCACTGGTGAGGAGCTCCTGGTAAGGGCGAATGGTTCCAGCAACAAGGAAAAGTGGGTCTCGTTCTGTGGTGCATATACGCCTTGGACTGAGGTTGGAACGTGTAGGAAAGCAGCCAGCGAAGGTTCGAAGACAGGGAGAAACCAGACGCTTACCAGTGCATGCTTTCAGTGAAGGAAGGATTTGGTCATCCAAATGTCTCAGCAAATGCAGCCTCAGTGCCAGTGTTTTGGCCATCGTAAAAAAGAGCTACCAAATCCTTAATATACAGTCAAAACAAAAGAAAGAATCAATTAAAATTAAACATCATCTACTAAACTTGTGATCAGAGATATCTATTTTTCTGTCGCAAGGTACCGTCAGTAAGATTTCAATGGGTGACTTTCAAAACCTCATTTTGATGCTTCCTCAGTTTCTCACTCCTCCGTCCTTCAGCTTGTAATACAGAAACCATGCAAATTCTGCTATGATGAAGGACGAGGTAGAATATGGAAGTAAAATAATGCCAAATGTTTTTGAAACAAAAAAGCCTGTTGAATTGCGCTACTTGAAAAAAAGTCTTGATATTGTGACCTTACCACAAGTGAGTTGCCCTACCCTTTTCCACTATGGAAGTAAATAATAAATAAAATAGTAAATAATGCCAATTTTTTTTTAAAACAAAAAAGCCTGTTCAAATATTAATATTTCAATTAAAAACATTTCAGTTTCAAAAAACATTTGGCATTATGTACTATTTTATTTATTATTTACTTCCATAGTGGAAAGGGGTAGGGCAACTCACTTGAGGTAAGGTCACAATATCTGACTAGATATGCAACGATCGATAATACATATATATACCGGTGTATATATATAGTATATAAAATTGGTCATCTCAGTAACAGTCATAAACGATTAAATGAATATCAAAAGTGCCATTACTATTCAGCAACTATTATTCTAAACTATACATGTAACTGTCTGATGGTATATCATATATAGCATTTTACATGTAATTTATGGCTCAGGGTAATATCAATCCTGTGTTCATCAGTACCTACACTGTTAAATAGTTTGGAAAGATTGTAATGTTTTGGAATATAAAGCACAATGTCTCTTAATAATAAAATAAAAAATTCCAATTAAATATTATTAAACTGTCATTTCCATGTCTAATAGCACAATTTATACAAAATGATGAGGGTTATACTGTATGCATGATATAGCCTACAGTACAACCGTTTTTCTTTCAGAATGTGTATAGTTGTGTACACTATTATTTAAAAAAGCTTTATCAAGCCAACATAATAATAACAATAATTATAATAATAAGACATTTCTATTTCAGCAGCAGTAAAAACTCTTGAATCATTTTAAGTGTGAAATCAACAATCTAAGATTGAAGAAAAAAAAATAATGAACAGCAGTTACCTCTTGGACATGGGTCCAGTGCAGATTTCACACAAAGCGGCACAGTTTTAACTACTCATAGCTTCGTGACACAAAATAAAGTCGGGCTCCCTATGATGCATAACGTACTTGACAGAAACTCTCAGTGACTTTACTGAGAGTCACTCACGTAAGAGTTACATGAGTGAGATTGATTCTTCTTCTACTATAGTGGGTTGCAAACCAACTTCATTGGTGCATACCGCCACCTATGTGTGTGTAAAGAGAATGAATTCAATATTTCTCACGTAATCCATATATCCTATTTTTTTTTATCCACTAATCCTAATAAATCTCATGATTGCATTAATTTGTTTCCCCGCATTTTGACCATAATTTACTATATTACTTATTGTGAATTCTTCTAATTTAGTTCTTGATTCTTCCTTTCTCTTTCATTTTTCATTTAATTTTGGATTAGCCTACATACCATCAAAACATACTCCACTGTCTCCTCTATTAAACAAATATCACCATCATGCCCTGCAAAGGTATGTGAATTATATAACTGCACACTTTAAAAAGAAAACTGATCAAAAAGTTGAAAATTTCATGTAGCGTTTAAAATTTATGATAATCATAACTTAAAAAAACAACAACAAATATTCTCATATTAACATTTAAATGTGTTGGGGGGGGGGGGGGTCATCTCTTCATGCTCCGTCTGCAAAGTGAACAGACTGATGTTACTAATGGTGATATATTATTTCATAAACATTTAATAATAACAATTATTTAATAATAAGTGAATTATTTAAAAAATAATAATAAGTGTCATATCAGCTTATTTACATATTTAAATATGCATATTTGTGATATTTACTCCCCTGGCCATTTTTTACCTTCATAAAAGCAAATAATTCCCTAACCATATTACTGCAATTGTAATTAAATTAAATTAAATTAAATTAAATTAAAACAGTTAGGTTTTGTGATGTAAAAAGAAAGATAAATAAAATTAAATAAAAAAACAGAAATGTTGCACCTTTAATGTGAAATTACAACCTACATGCAATGCCACTGAAAAAATTAACGAATCACCAAGCTCATCTGTAATGTTCACGCCAGTATTCGCCAGAATTGACTGATTAAAAATAAATCTCAGCTGTTCTTGTAAGATTTTGGATGTAAATTAAAGACTTCTTAAGTGAATCTCCTAGTGTTTACTGACCAGCAGTGTGTGACAATATGTGACAATAGCTAAAATTATTAATACATTTTACATTTTTGTAGTTTTTATGACAACCATTTAAATCACTATCTCAGCAATGATTAAAAACTTACAATTGCAATAACAGAAAGTAGAATGTTTACTTTTTTTAAATTTAGTGCATAAATCTTAAAATGTATATTTCTGAGTTAAAGTGACTCAAAATAACGGAGCATGTCAATCACAATTTTTTTTATTAAACTGTTGTTTCACAGACAAGGCAAAAGCCTAGTCCCAGATTAAAATGCATGTTTGAGATGTTTTAACTAAAAGCAACTTGCACCATCATATCTTAAAATATGTCAGTGCTATTGTTATGTCTCAGAATGCACACCAGTAAGGTTTTTTTTTTTTTCAAAGGGACATTTATAAAAGCTAGTTAAATGCCCAAATTAAACTAAGGCTTAATCCTGACTTAATCTAAGGCCTGGGCTGGGCATGAAACCGGTTGCATAAACCACTAAGACTAGTCTTACAAATCCATTTTTTTTTTTCATTAAGACTGTTCATAGGTTTTTTTTTTTTAACCATATAAAAAAACGTAGATTAGCCTAATTTGATACCGAAAAAAGTAAGACTGACTTCGCCTGACTAATAGCTAGTGGGTCATACTAGAACTTAAGACACTGTCTTAACATAATAGACATTTTCATGACATTTTGTGCTAAAATGTATTACATTGAAAGATAATTATTATATTGTAAACATTGTTTCACTTATACATTATGTGCTGGTATTACCTTATAAACTGTGATTACATTATAAGCTGCAGTGTGTTCATTATGTAATCAATTTCTCATACAATAACCTATTACATTATGTAAAATGAAACATTGGAAAATCGTTATTACATTATGAGCTCAAGATATTATTACGTTTTTACAAAAAAATATTACATTAGCTACAGGTTTAATTTAATTTAATTTAAAAAAAAATGCATAGAAAAAAAGCTCTCAGGAAATTTACTTCAACAGAATCAGCACTTTTGTCTACTACAGCAGTTCATTGACTTCCAAACGAATCTTCAAACCATGTGGCAAAAGCAAGCCAATTTAATTAGGATTGCAAGCTTCCCTGGAGTTGTTGGAGCCATTGATGGAACTCATGTTCAAATCATTGTGGGGACATGACCAGAGCAAAGGCATGAGAAACTGCTTGCATTCAATTCACATTTTTATTGACTTCAGAAAAAGAATAACAAATAAAAAATAACATAAACAAAGACACAAAAGGTGGCCCTCTTCACGGAGGTCCCTCACCAGAATTGACTCGAACAGACAAAATAAATCATTTTATACTGAAAGGTTCAACCATTTCATAATAATAGGGAATTTAAATTATATGTACACATACATAATACATAAATAAACTTAAATGAAAATAATATTCAAAATACATTTTACAAGGAAAGAAATACAAATAATAAACAATACATTTAAACATACTATAAACACTCAAAATAAACAATAAAACAATGACCCCCCTGCTCACACTAGGAAATGGACGATGCCTACACTACCCAGAATTCCTTGGGATGGCATAAAATGAGGAACAGGAAGGCCGCACTTCCTCTAAAACTCCCACCCCCACAACCCATGCTGCAGGCATGAACCCAGAAAGTAAGTTTTGAAAATGGGGATATAAACTATTATAGTTGATGTAAATTCTAAATAAAGAAATAAAACTGTTGGTGTCTTTTGTCATCTGTCTAATGTGCACCTTAGACTAGAAAAAAGTTGCCAAACTCATATTTAACCAAACAATGAGAAACAAACCGCAATCAAGGGTAACTTATGACATCGTCACACGCATACTCTCTTGAGTAGGCACTTAATTTGAATTTGAGTAATTACTTCAGGGCTACTAAAAAAGTATGTTCTATAATATAGTATCATGCACACCAGTATCTCGCTGGAAGTAGTAGGTCATCCGAGGACTTTTACTCTTTTATCAGTACTGTGAATTTGGACATACTGCTTTTCGTCTACTATATAGTAGGGAAGTATGAATTTCCAGATGCAGCTTTAGACTTTGCTAAAATTTGCTTTTAGCTCTTTATACATAGCTCATATCTTAAACAATTCTTGTTTACTGAGATTTTTTTTTATACTCATTCAAAGCTTTAGCCTATTCTTAAAAGCATTTTTTAGACGTTTTAAAAGTATGGCCCCTAGAATTCGTATTTTCACTAATCAGAACTAAATTATGACTAGTAGAGCTTTAAATGCTTAAACGGATTGCCATAATACTGTAGACAGAAATCCATTTGAGATAACCATATACCTTTCAGATACCTATCTTTAAATTAGATTTGACAAATTAAATTTAAACTTTTTTTTTTTTTGGGCTAGGGCCTAGGCAAATACAATTTAAGATACCTACAATTGTTCTTTTGACAGAATATATTTTCAGACATGTATAAACTTTACTAAATTTTTATATACACTGCCACTCAAAAATTTGGGATCAGTAAGATTTTTTTAAATGTTTTTAAGTCTCTTATGCTCACCAAGGCTGTATTTATTTGAAAAATATATATATAAATATAAATTAAATGGAGCTTTCTATTCATCAAAGAAACCAGAATTTTTGTTGTTGTCCACAACTGTTTTCAACATTGATAAATATTTTTTGAGCATCAAATTAGATTAGAATTTCTGAAGGATCATGTGACACTGAAGACTGAAGTAATGATGCTGAAAATTCAGCTTTGCACCACAGGAAATTTTCTGTACAGCAATGTATTTGTGAGCACTGCTTGCTGTTAGTTTTAATCTACCCTGTGCCCTTCAATGGGGTTTATTAACAAGACAAACTCTTTAGATACAATAATCTAAAATTTCATTAGCCCAGTTTCCTTTGTGTGTATATATATATATAGGCAGCACACACGTTTGCAAGCATGTACAAACACTTTTATCTAAACTGTTAGCTTGCTATGGAAGCGTTTCTGCCACTGAATAAAAAAATAAAGGTAATTGCGACTTTTCATCCCACATTTCCCCCCTCATATAATTGGACATCATTACCTGCAATTGTGAGGGAAAAGAGTCAGAATTGCAAGAAGTCACCAATATCTTTTTTTATTCCATAACAGAAGCTTCCATAGCATGCCATGCAATTTAACTAAAATATCAATTTGCTCAGCATATATTAACTTAATTTTCTGCTAGAATAAAGGGCATTCCATCAGCACAGGAAAACAAATACACAAAACAGTGATTTCCAAATCTTTTATTTAAAGAATACAAATCGACATCTACTTAGACTTCTGGCTCTGTGCCTGTGCCTTCAGTACTTTGACGACGATCTTCTGCTCCTCAATGAGGAAAGCTCGCTTGATCCTGAAAAGTGATGCAGATGGATGTGGGTCATGTGCTCATAGAATGCATTTAACTCAAGAGTTTAATTAGAGCATGCCTAAATTAACGGTTCACCAAAACACTGTCATCATTTACTCATGTTGTTTTCATATAATGTTTTCCAACAGAGGATTAGAATCCATTCAACTAATTTTTGCAGAGTACAGTACAGAGCCAATGAAATACAAACACAGATTTCATTGGTTCTGTACTGTACAACCAAATCTTAAATGACATGATTTGGCAATAACATGTGCATTTGCATCCTTTTTGAACCTTTAAAAATCTTCTGTCCCAATTTTAAATAACATGGAAAAGGGCAATCATTACAGTTCTTTTAGACATCTACTTTTGTGTTTTAGAACACTCAAACAAATCTGTATTGTCATGAGACAAAACATTATTAGATTAACTATATTTTTATAAGATGAGCTATCCCTTTATTAATCGCCCGTCCCAATCTACTTGTTTACAAATAACGCAATGATCTCAGTTTGTTACCTGTCTCGTACACACTTGGCACACATGGAACCACCGTAAGCTCGGCTGACGTGCTTCTTGGTTTTTGAGAGTCTCATGAGAACCTGGGGCCT